ATGGGAGGTGTTGAATCAGGTGGGTCTAGAGTGCAGGGGCCTGGAGAGGTGGGGAGGGGTGAGGGGAGGCTGTTGGAGAAAGAAGAGCAGGAGGCCGGGCCCTGCTTGGGTTATTTTCAGAGCTGCTATCTTTGTCTGCATCTGCTAAATTATTAAACTGAGATCATATCCTAGAGGGTGCCAGGCCAGGTAGCCAGGAAGAGACAGAAAGGGAGGGGGCAGTCTTCTAGGCTGAGATGGAAAAGGACACCTTGGGCCTTGACCGCTGCCTCACCCCATGCCCATCAGAGGGAAGGGACCCCGCTGGAGCCTTGCCCTACCCACCATCTCCAACCCCCGGGTTCCTGTCGGCGTCTGCTTTCTTGGGGTGGAGAGAGACAAACTGACCAGTGCTCCGGAACCTGATCCTGTCTGGGCTGCCTCTTCCTGCAGGGTCTGTGATGCAGATCACAGGCTTGGGACGCAGAGCTTGCATCGGGCCGTGTCCTTGTCCATGTCACAGGCATCTCCAGTCCCATTTCCCAGATGAGGATCCTGATGTTTAGAGAAGAAAGTTGTATTTCCTCAAGGTTGCACAGAAAGGCAAGGATTTCAAACACTTGATTATCTGGTTTCAGATCCTGCCCTCTCTTTAGTATTTTAAAAAATATTTTACTGTTTTCTTTGTTTTCCAGCTTTTCTAAAATAGAACTGTGCATATTTTATAAAAATGTTACTTTCTTTGGGGGGGTGGATGGGAAGAGATCATTACCCCTCCCTTTAGTTCTCTCTTTTTTTTTTTAAGATTTATTTTATTTTTATTGGAAAGGCGGATATACAAAGAGGAGAGACAGAGAGGAAGATCTTCCGTCCGATGATTCACTCCCCAAGTGAGCGCAACGGCTGATGCTATGCCGATCCAAAGCCAGGAGCCTCTTCCGGGTCTCCCACGTGGGTGCAGGGTCCCAAAGCTTTGGGCCATCCTCGACTGCTTTCCCAGGCCACAAGCAGGGAGCTGGATGGGAAGAGGGGCTGCCGGGATTAGAACCAGCGCCCATATGGGATCCCGGGCGTGCAAGGTGAGGACTTTAACCACTGCGCCACCGCGCCGGGCCCTAGTTCTCTTTTTTATTTTTTAGCACTTTTTATTTTTTAAATATTTGAAAGGTAGCAAAAGAGAAGAGAGAGAGAGAGATTCTTCCATCTGCTGATTCACTCTCCCGCTGTGGCCCTGGATGAAGCCAGGAGCCAGGAGCTTGGAGCTTCATCCAGCTCTCCCACGTGGGTGGAGAGGCCCACGCACTTGGACCTTCTTCTGCTGGAGCTAGATCAGAAGTAGAGTAGCTGGGATAGGGACCAATGCCCATATGGGATGCCACAGGTGCTGGGCTAACATGCTATGCTACACACTGGCTCTGCTCAGAGAAGCGTCCATGCCCTCCAGGGCTGCTGGATGGCGCGGACACAGTTCCTGGCAGCCCTGGAGTAAGGACAAGGACCCCGGTAATCTGACTCTCCAGAGGCCATGTCCACCATCCTCAGCGAGAGTGGCACCCGTGTGAGGAAGCCACACAACCTCAATGAGCTGGTCTGTCCCCCACACCAACCCTGTTTTTGTTATTAAATTCATTATGGAAAAAAAAAAAGAAAAACTACAGCAATTCATAGAGTTAACAAATGTATTTCCTGGGATCTGGTGTTGTGGGACAGGGAATTAAACTGCCACCTGCACCTGCAGTGTTAGCATCCCATGTGAGTGCCAGTTTGAGTCCTGGCTGCTTTACTCTGACCCAGCTCCCTGCTATGTCCCTGGGAAACCAGGGCACAATGGACCAAATACTTGGGTCCCTACCACCCACGTGGGAGACCTGGATAGAGTTACTGGCTCCGGGCTTCTGCATGGCTCTGCCCTGCCTATCGTGGCTACTTGGAGAGCACACTGGTACCTGGACTCTTACTCTCTTCCCCTAATTGCCTGCCTTTTAAGTAAACATATATATTTATGAAGAATGTATTCCTCATGCTAATTGTCTTTGCCAGGGTGACTATGCACTAGCAGCCAGGGTGCTGTGGCCCTGTTTTTTTCCTGGGATGTGGCACTCAGCTAAGGAAGTGAGCAGAAGCCAAACTTGTATCACCGCTGGTCCTTGGCACACAGTGTCCTGTCCAGACTCCTCCTCCCTTCCACCCACCCACTTTGCATGCTTCGGATCTCAGTTTAAATGTCACCTCCTACAGGACACTCTCTGGATCCCCTCCTGCTCCATCTGGGCCCAGGGCTGCTCTTGGTGGCTCACCAGGGCAAACCCCACTAAATTATGAGATTCACCCAGGGCAGGGCCTCTCTGTTCCAGAAGTGAATCCAGGGGAGGGGAGCAACAAATTGTTGACTGAGTGAAATAAAAGAGTGGGGCCCAGCACGGTAGCCTAGCAGCTAAAATCCTTGCCTTGCATGCACCCAGAACCCATTTAGGGCACCAGTTCTAATCCTGGCTACCCCATTTCCCATCCAGCTCTCTGCTTACGGCCTGGGAAAGCAGTTGAGGATGACCCACCGCCTTGAGACCCTGCACCCATGTGGGAGACCCGGAAAGAAGCTCTTGGCTCCTGGCTTCGAATAGGCTCAGTTCTGGCCGTTGTGGCCACTTGCGGAGTGAATCAACAGACGGAAGATCTTCCTCTCTGTCTCTTCACTGCATATCTGACTTTGCAATAAAACAATGAAAATCTTAAAAAAAAGAGAGAAATAAAAACTGAATGAGTAAGGGGACTCCTATTCCTAGAAGTGTGCTATGTCTCATTCAAACAAATGTTTATCGACTGCCTGATGGGGTCAATCCATCTACATCCTATCCGGGAGCCCTAGTGACGAGGAAAGCCAGGGCAGGGGACAGGACCGTTACTCACTAAACCTACAAATAACTACATGCACCCATGCCTTGTGGGAAACACCACAGAGCAGTGGAGCAGGGGACATTGCTGGAGAATAGTAGAAGGATGATCTGCAGGTGCGCCAGACCTGTGTTAAAACCCTTCCCTGGGGGCTTGTGCCGTGGCGCTGTGAGTGAAGCTGCAATTGGCACCAGCACTCCATATGGGTGTCGATTCCAGTCCCAGGTGCTTTATCTCTGACCCAGCTTTCCCTGCCTGGGAAACCAGCAGAGGATGGTTCTAATGCTTGTGTCTCTGCACTCACGTGGGAGTCCTGGATCTGCTCAGCTCTGGCCGTTGCAAACCTTTGGGGAGCAAACCAGGGGATGGAAGACCTCGTCTCTATCTCTTCCTCTCTGCAACTCTGCCTTTCAAATACATAAAATAAATCTCAAAAAAAAAAAAAATCTTGCCTGGCCACCTCCCTGCTGCGGAATGGCCCTCTAGCCTTGGGAATCGTGTGAGGGCGTCCATTCACTTGGGGAACATGTTGAGTCTTTTCCCCCTGGAGCAGTTTCTTGCTGAGGTGAGGGGAGTGTGTGGGGTGAGATGGGGAGAGCGGCTGGGATCCTGAACTGATCAGGTTTTGGGAACATGCGGATGATGGGTTAGGGGTTAATGTGGCTCCTCTCTCCCTCCCTTCCTCCCCCAGGAGTTGGGAGCAGGTGATCTATCTGACAAGGCAAAACACCTGCCCAAGCCTTCCCTGAGATGGGCGGGGCCCCTGCCAGGAGAGGACTCAGAGGGGGACGACTGGAAGCAGACAACACCTTTCAGCAGAGCATTCCTCCTGGCGTGGGGTGGAGTGGGGGGCGGGGACCCTTCCGGAGCGTCCACTGTGAGCCTCCGGCCCCTGTCTGCAGGGAGATCCCCCCCCTTTCCTGGAGCCCCAGCATTTTCACTGCTCACCCTCGCCAGACCTCTCCCCCTCCCCATCTTAAGCCCCCATCAGTGGTCACTGGGTACCCTCCCTCTTCCCCCTTCTCCTGTAAGCCCTCCTCCCTTCCTCCTGGCTGAGCCGGGCGCCCCCTCCCTGTTCCCGGCTGAGCCTCTCTGGAGCCAAGCTGTCTCGCCCACGTGTCCCTGTCACTCAGTCTAAGGCACCTGAAAGCCCTCAGAACGCGGGGGCGGGCTGAGGCTCTGTTCTTAGCTTCACCGGGTGATGGCGGCTCCCCCATCGACCTCGCGCTCAACGTGGGGCGATGGTCACCCTGCCCTCGCTTATCCTGTGCAGGTGGCAGCCCAGTAGCTTCTTCCTCTAGGTCCTGGGGCCCACCCATCTCGAAGACTTCCCATTCCTGCTGGCACTTTCAAGCTCAAGGAGGCTGAGGCAGGCCCATGGCGCCAGGACCTGTGTTTGGGAAAGGTGTGGCAAGGGTCCCGGGTGTTGCAAGTCAAGCGGACAGGGCAGAGTCCTAACCATGTGGGAAGGCAACACCAGAGCCCAGAGAGGCCTTGGCTAGCTGGCCGGGCGCCAACCCTGGGCAAACCTTCGTTACCCTTTCTGGGGCTGTTTTTCCTCTTTGTGGGGAAAGCATGGGGACACCTGCGGGGAGGGGCACACACGGAAGAAAGAACTGGGCATTCTGGGGCTCCCCTAGGAGACCACTGACTTCCGCAGGGCTCAGCTGCTCGGCACGGGTTTGTTCGGCTCCAGGTGCAACTAACCTGGCCGGGTACTCCCCTCTTCTCCCCGTGTGATGTGAAGGGTGTGAAGGGGCACAGCCCATGGGGTCAGGCTTCCGGAGCTGGAGCGCAGGCTGTCGCTGTCACGCTGTGGGGCCTCGAGCAAAGCCGAGTCCCACGTGGAGCCTGGATGTCACGATTCCCAGGCACCGGAACGGGGCCCAGGACCAGGCATCTGCAGGGCTGGGGAAGGCATCCTCCCATGCCTGGGGCTGGGGGGCAGGTGCCGGGCATGCTCGCCGCTGATTGGCTGCGTTGCCCATCGCTCCGCCTCGTGCTCTATAAGTCGCGCGGGCGGCGGGCGCGGCGCCGGCGTGCGGGTCTGCGGCCACCTTATTCCGATTGCTGATTGTCCGTCTGCCCGCGCGCGGACGACACAGGCGCAGACCTCCGGGGACCGGGGGATGCCGGGCTGCCGCATCAGTGCCTGCGGCCCGGGGGCCCAGGAAGGGCCGGCAGAACCCGGGTCCCCGCCGCCGCCACCCCGGGAGTCCCTGCCATCTCCCCAGCTCCCGCCGCCCCCAACTCCGACCTTGACCCCGGCGTCATCGCAGCCCGAAGCGGCCCAGGGGTCTGCAGCAGGCGCGGCCGAGGGGCAGGAGCTGCAGCGCTGGCGCCAGGGCCCTAGCGCGGGCGCGGGGGTCACCGGGCCGGCAGGGAGCGCGAGCGGCGGCCCGGGCACAGCGGCGGCGGCGGGGCCGGGGGGTCGCGCGCTGGAGCTGGCCGAAGCAAGGAGGCGGCTGCTGGAGGTGGAGGGCCGCCGGCGCCTGGTGTCGGAGCTGGAAAGCCGCGTACTGCAGCTGCACCGGGTCTTCCTGGCGGCCGAGCTACGCCTGGCGCACCGCGCCGAGAGCCTGGGCCGCTTGAGCGGCGGCGTGGCGCAGGCCGAGCTCTACCTGGCAGCGCACGGGTCGCGCCTCAAGAAGGGCTCCCGCCGCGGCCGCCGGGGCCGCCCGCCAGCGCTGCTCGCCTCGGCGCTCGGCCTGGGTAGCTGCGTGCCCTGGGGAGCCGGGCGCCTGCGGCGAGGACACGGCCCAGAGCCCGAGTCGCCCTTCCGCCGCAGCCCGCCCCGCGGACCCGCCTCTCCCCAGCGCTGATCCCAAGCACCCCGACCCCTGGCCACCCGGCACGGCCCATCGCCGAGGCACCGACGGACGCCTCTATGGAGGGATGGACGGCGGAGTCACCGGCGCGGATGACCAAGCCGACCACCGGAGGACAGGGCTCAGGAAAGGAGGTGGTGGTGCGGACGTTAGCGACTGGTGCGTTCGAAAGGCGGGGCGGTGGGGGTGCAGGGCCCGGAAGCGCCCTTCCCTGGGTCCCTAATAAAGCTACTCACCTCTGTCCGACCCCCCCACCTCCCATTAGAGACTTAGTTAGACGGTGAGAATTGGGGATGCCCGGCTCCCAGGAGGAACGCGTGGCAAACTTGGGCGCGCTGGAGCCCGCTGTACGGACACTGCACCGGCCTTCCCTGTCCTGATTCCTGGGGCTGCCAAAAAGTCTGGCCTCTGAGGCCTCCGCTTTCCAGCACAGTCCAACTCCCAACCTTGGAGAGGGCAGAATAATGAGAACCCGGGATGGGGTGGCGCCGGCTGGGGACTGCAGGACAGAGCCCCTGACGCTCTTCGGAGGAGATGGAGTCTCAGAGAGGTTGCTTAGATCACCTGGGTAACCAGGATGGAGAGTTTGGCACCTGCTGGCCTAGCCCCGCCCTCCCTTTGCCAACCTGTCTCTAGGATGGCTCTACCAGGGTTGGAGCCAGGTGACACCCTGTAAGGGGCCCCAAGGGGCAGGTATGGCATCAGCCTCCTGGAAGCGGGGAGGGGCTTAAAGGGCCAGACTTGAAATGAGAACTGCTTCTCTCCTGATGTCCTTTAGCCTTTCCCCCTCCTCCATCTGCAAGTGGCCTGGCTGTGGCTTTGCTGCTCATCAGAGCTCCCTGCAGCTTCTCTCATGCTGTGGCTTGCCAATTGGGTATCACAGCCGCCCCCCCCCGAAGGGCCGTGGGGCAGTGGACACAGGTGGAGCCAGGGGAGGCTTTCTTGGTCTTTCCATCATTCCCAAGGATGTCCACTGCTCTTGGCTCCTGTAGCTGAGAGCTGACCGAAAGACCACATCTTGTAGAGTATACGGGGGCTTTCCTGAGGGCGCAGGCCAGCGAGGGGCAGAGCGAGGGCCCAGGTCTGCGGGTGTCCTTCCCACGGTGCCCTGGGTAGGGGTGAGGGGGCAGCTGACCTCTGGCCACCATCCACGGGCTGAACTGAATTCCAGGGCGCTCCCCTCTCCCCGGCCTCCCTACCCTGACCCCTGAGCTGGGGTGTGTGTGTGGGGGGGAGGGAGGTTGCCCAGAGAGGGTCTGGAGATCCAGGGGGACGGAGGATGATACATTAAAGGAGCTCAGGCCACAGTGCTGGACCCCAGCCAGGACTGCTGGGTTTCTGGGTTGCCTGGGGGGGTGCTTCGTCCATTTAGCTAATGGCGTAAAGCACTCCAGGCCACCACAGTTGTGCTGTTGTATGGGATTTGTTGATAATCAGCTTTCTCCCAATGTGGGGTTAGGGCAGGTGGGCAGAGAATTAGAGAAAGTGGAGTGGGTGTGTATTGTGGGGTCCATGGCACTTGGTCATGGGATCCTGTGCAGTATTGCCTCCTCTCTCTGGTGCAGTAGCCCAGGGTCAAGGTCAGAGCTTGCAACACTCAGTGACTTGAACCCCAGCTCTGGCACACTGCCCTGCTGCCAGCTCTCCTTCCCTTCCCTGCCCGGTCCAGCCAGGACTCCCGCAGGAACGCCTGCCAGAGAGGGTCTGGATACATTTCCTCCTACGGATGGAACAGGAGCTGCCACCTTCCTTCAGGCAGCTCTCCCTGGTGTCATCATGGTGCTTGGTCCTGGGCAGTAGGTGTTGGCTGGAGCGCTGTTCTTAGGCCTTTACTGCCTGCTTCAGCTCCTTGGCAGGGGACGGGACCCTCTTCTGCCCCCATGACTTCAGCCCCCAACACTGCGGATTATGTGGAGAGATCTTGGGGGACCTGGGCATTGAGGACGTAGATGGTCACCAGTCAATCTGGGATCTCAGCAAAGGAAAAAGGAACAAGCCAGTTTGACTCTGCCCTCTGCGCTGCCCCAGCAGTGTGTGGCTGCCGCCGCCAGAGGGCAGTGCGGGATGCTTTGGGGGACCTGGGGGCGTGGCCCGGAGCAGGTTCGATTCCCCGCCCCGTAGTCCTTCCCGGAATTTACACTGTGAGGATCTGGCAGAACCAACGGGTCGCGGTGTCCAGGGGACCCGCGTGGAGAAGGGGCCAGAGGCGGTGAAGGTCTTTCTGGAAGGGCTTCCTGAAAGAGGCTGCCACGTGGGAGCTCTAGTAGCCTTGGTGCCGACGGGCAACCTAACAAGGAGGCTGCTGCGACCCGAGCCACTGTGTCCGCGAGGCTCCCAGATCCTCACAGCCCCGTGTCGGGAGACCGCCTCAGACCCCAGGCCTCCTTCCAACTGAAGGAGGGAAACCTCGGAGATTCTTAACCCATGTGTTCCCCTAGCTTGGCCATGCAGGAGCAGGCTCAGTGGAGATCCCTACGCCTTAGGCTGTGAGAGCTTGCTTGGTAGGAGTGGGGCGGGGGCGTGGGAATTTCTCTCAGGCTATGCATAGCGCTGTTTGTCAGTTCCGGGCAGATCCTGGAGGGAAGCCAGAAGGGGGACCCTCTGCTCCATTCCCCTCAGAGTCTGGGCATACCCTCCCTGTGGATCTGTGCGGGTGGGGAAGGGTCACCCGAGGTTTCAGTCCCTGGGGAAGTTGGGGGGAGGCAAGCTTTCCTGTTTCTTAACCAGTCTCTTCTTTGTGTTTTTGTTCTGTGCTTTGGGCCAGAGCTAGGGGGAGCCCAGCTTGGTGTTAGGGCAGCGGGTGGGCGATGCGGAGGTGGTGGGGAGAGTCCGTCAGAGTCCTGGGCAGCAGGGGCCTGGGCCAGGCCTGTGTGCCAAACCCTGGCTGGTCCAGCACATCATTGCCATATCTGGAATCCCTAGACCGTCTCCCCCCACCCCCAGCAGCCCTGGGGAACTCCATAAGGGGAAGGGGGCGGGGCAAGCCTTTCCTCCCGGAACATTCCATTCCAGCTGCTCAGACCAGTGGGGATCCCAGCCAAGGACCGAAGCCCCAGGGAACCTGTGCCAGTGGATCCTGGGCCACTGCCGCACCACCCTGGGGAGAAAGTGCATGTGGATGGGTGGATGGGGGCAGGTGGCTGGGAGAAAAGCTATTCAAGCCCTGGGAATGCTTCTTTTCAGCTCCTCCGAGCTTCCACACCGTGGACCTGGACTCCAACGCTGGGACTCTGCGCCTTCCCTGGGTACCTCCTCCAGGAAGACTTCCAGAATTGGCTTTATACAAGCTTGACACTCTCCTCACGGGAGATCTCGCTTCACAGGGGCTGGGGAGTTCTCATCTCAGTGCCATATGTGCAGGTGCACTTGACTTTGGGGTGTACCCTGAGATGCAATCTGATGGTGTAGGAGCATGGCAGATATTTCCCGTCCTTACATGAAAAGGCTTTGGAAACAAACTGGCCGTGGCACAGCTCGAGTCCCCCTGCTTTGGTGGCTGTCACTGCCTGGGTGGATGCCATGTGGTGGTGCCCAAGTCCTGTAGGAGAGAGGACTGAGGCTTGAGAGATCCCATTTCCCCCACCCACTGCCCTGTTCTCTCCTGTAGGGGTACAGCTCTCCCCGCCCCCCACCCTGCCCCATGCACCTGCTGGCTCCCTAGGGAAGGGAAGGGGCAACGGCTACCCTAACTTTCTGTGTCCAGTTGTATTCCAGGCTTAGGGTGGAAAGGAAGGAGCTCCTGGAGTCCCGCTCAGGACATGTAGAACCGCATACGGGAATGTATCTCAGTGCAGCCCCCAACACACGTGTTCAGGAAAAATAAACCCCCCCACATGGTGAGGCGGACAGGCGTGTGTTCCGGGCTGCTTCACTTTGCGTCCTTGCCGGTCATAGTTCCTGAGGTTGCCAGTTCTGTGAGCAGTTTCTGTTGGGTTGGCATGGGCGAACTGGGCCTGTCACCATGTGCCCATGAGTCTCCCCATGACCTACCCTTCCCAGGAAGTCTTCCCGGTCAGTGTGCACCTGCCTGGATTGGTGGCCCTGGCCCAGCTGGTCATCAGGGTCCCTGCGGCAGACTGGATACATTCCAGCTGGTAAGTATAAGAAAGAATCGGTGGGGCTTAGGAAACTGACCAGGGTGGGCCACAGTGGGCAGCCTGAGGGCTGGTCTGCAGGGCCAAGGGCAGCAGCTGTGAGGCCAGGCTAGTGTCTCATGGGGCCAGGAAGCCTGGTGGCAGCCAGGTTGGGTGGTGGCTGGGCGGGGCGAATAAATACAGGCTTCCTCCACTCTCCTGCTGGGGCCAGGAACAAGGGAGTCATTGATGCCCCATCCTTCCATGACAGCCTCCCCAGCTCTCAGAGCAGAAGGGCAGAGAGGGGACCCCACGGGGCCTGGCTGGAAGAATGCAGGACAGAGCTAACTTCTGCCTGTCTGGCTTCTGCTGGTCTCCAGTTCCTATTCCTGATTCCTGCCTGTACTGACATCCCCACCAGTGGGAGAACAGTGTCATTCCTTGAGTCAGTGTTTGCGTCACGCCTAGCAACACCGCACCCCTCCCAAACACCCACAGGCAAGCAGGGGCCACCCTAGGCCCCAGATGGTCACCACAAGCTGTGGCTGCTGTCACACGGGGCCCCTGTCTTGCAAAGTGACAAAATGTCATGGTCGTGTTGAATACACCACATCTGCACAGAGAGCAGATGACGTACAGCTCAGCCAGACACCCTCTGGCACCCGTATTGTCCCACTGACGCACCTGGCAAGCGCATGAACCTTTATGGATGACTTCCCCAGCCCAGAACACCTTCCCCTGACATCTGCATGGCTGGCTTCCCACCACCTTTAAGGCTTTGCCCAACGGTGTTACCTTGTGATGAGGCAGGTGCTCGCCAACTTCTATACTGCACTGGGGAATCCCTGGGCCTTCAGGCTGCTTGCGGCTGGCCTCGTAGGCACTATGGACACACATGCACCGCATGGGCTTCCCTCCTAA